GACAAAAATTGTCCCAAAAATGGGCAAAAAATGGACAAAAATCGGCCCAAAAATGGGCAAAAAAAGGAAAAAAATTGGCCCAAAAATGGACAAAAATCGGCCCAAAAATGGACAAAAAATGGACAAAAATCAGCCCAAAAATGGACAAAAATCAGCCCAAAAATGGATAAAAAATGGACAAAAATCGGCCCAAAATGGACAGAAATTAGCCCAAAAATGGGCAAAAATTAGCCCAAAAATGGACAAAAATTAGCCCAAAAATGGGCAAAAAATGGACAAAAATCGGCCCAAAATGGACAGAAATCAGCCCAAAAGTGGACAAAAATCAGCCCAAAAATGGACAAAAAATGGACAAAAATCGGCCCAAAAATGGACAAAAATTGGCCCCAAAATGGACAAAATATGGGCAAAAGTCAGCCCAAAAACCAGTAAAAATCAACCTGAAAATGAGACAAAAATCAGCCCAAAAATGGACAAAAATTGGCCCAAAAACCAGTGAAAAACCGGGGAAAATCAGCCCAAAAATCAATGAAAATCAGCCTGAAAATCAATGAAAATCAGCCTGAAAATCAGGTGTGACCCACGTGCAGAGAGCCCCCAGCCCCTCCCCTTTCCCCCCAAATTTTGACTTTTTTTCCCCGAATTTTTTGCTTTTTTCGCGGGGTTTTTTCTCCCATTCCCCCTGATTTTTATAATTTGCTATTTTTATTATTTTTACTATTATTTTTAATTTTATTTTATAATTTTTTGGGGGTGACCCACCTGCAGAGAGCGCCCAGGCCGTGCTCGTGGGCGCCGTCGTGCTCCGAGCTCAGCAGCGCCACCAGGCGGGGAACGAACCCGAGACGGAGCAGCGGCCCTGGGACAGGGGGGGAAAATTGGGGGAAAAAACGGGAAAAACGGGAAAAATTAAACGGGAAAAATTAAACGGGAAAAAACGGCAAAAATTAAACGGGAAAATTGGGGGAAAAATGGGAAAAATTAAACGGGAAAAATGGGGGGAAAATGGGGAAAA